GTAGTCATGCTGTTAAAATGGGGGGGAAAATTTCAATACTCTCGTTTTTAAGTTCATCATGGAACAAGGCCAAAAAGGTACAGTTATCCCCGGCGTACGGCTAGCCCTGCTGAAGTAGACCCCTGAGTCAAGGCTGTAGGTGCTGCGAGCGCAACAGCAACTTTCACAGATGGCCAAATCCACGATCCGAAAACGCAAGGCTTGAATGACTCTTACTAAAACAACTGTGGCAGGAACGCCGAAGCGCGCATGCCTTAAGCCACGTCTGCGCGCAACATGGTGTTGGGATTTCAGCGCGGCACGTGCGGGCACTCCTCCGACTAGAAACTTTCACCTCGAGCTGCATGTGCTTCTTCTTTGCCGCTTTTCGCCGCTCCAAGTCCTTCTGTCCAGACACTGCAGAATCCGCAAACAGTGGCCAGTCCGAGATTTTTCGAAGAGAGCCGAGAGCGCCAGTCCTTCAGCATCGCCTGCTCACGCGCGGCACGCTCCTGGCAGACCCGACCCAAACTCCCCCCGTCTTCGTGCAGCGATGGCTCTCCTCTCCTGCCCTCTCCTCAGGGCCCAACCTTCGCGGCCTCTTCCCGGAAGGCGCTCAAGTCGATGTCGCCCTCCTCCTCCATCGCCTCCGGCTTTGCGTCTGCTCTGTTGCAGCATTTTGGTACATCGTCCAGACTGCCAAAAATCACAACAGCTTCTGTACAGGTCGTCAGCATCTAACAGAGTCAAACCGCGTCTCAGGACCTCTTCTGGGCCACAGAGCACAGCGAGAACGTCTCGTGCCGAAGGCCTCCAGAAAAGATGAAGATACTGTGGTTTCGGATTTCGGTATTGTCATGGATTTGCGGTGAAGGGAACCAGAATCCGAGGATCAAGAGTCGCCACGAAAGTCAGAATTCTACGCATTTGGAACGAATGTTGGCTTCCGGAGTTACAACGCGGAAAACCATAGTTTTGCATGAACTCAAGGCGCCTGCGGTAGGCATGGTTTCAGGCGCTGTATCAGGCTAGTGCAACATAGTGCAACTATGTGCAACCATGGTCCAACACAAAGCACTGCAGAAACGCATCATCTACGGAGGTCAACACGGCTTCTTCAAAAATGATACAAGAGAGAGTGGAATTTCACAACCCGCAAGCGGACGTGATGGGCCACGGGTGCCACACCGGCTTCATGCTCTTCGAGGCCTCTGCTGTGAAAGAGCTCGAAACCTCAACCTGGAACTGCACCCAACACCGCCGGCATCCCCACACCAGAGCGGCGCACGCAGACCCCTTCACCCCTTCCCCTCTTCACAGAACCGCGCCTGATCGCGTTGAACTTCAACCTTTTGCTCGCCAGGCTCCCGACGACTTGTGCAGTTTAGACGGTAGTCAAGGCCCAGGGTGATCATACTTTCGTCGGGGTTCGACGACGAGCCTTGCGGCTTTGACATCGGGTTTCGATCTGCGGAAGCACTGATCGGCCGAATAGCACATCTGATTGGCAGCGATTCTACATGGATAAGATGGCTGCTTTCTATGATCACGGCCAGCATCCAGCAAAAACGCTTTACGAAACAGCTGAAAGCAGGGTCTGGCTCCTGCGACTCCTGAGCTCGCAGCTGGCCGCCGACGCGCATGGGCTCAAACTCGACAGCAGAGAGGCAGAAGAGGAGCCCATTTTGGATGCAAGCAAGGTTTCAATTCTCAAAGTCGCCGAGCTGCCAGCTAAATTCTCCCAGAAGCTGTATGTTCTGTTCAAAATCTGCTCTTCCACCACTGACTTCCAACCACCTGAACCTCCGACTCCAGATTGTGCAAACCCTCTCCGGCCTTGTGGGGGTCGAGCTGCTTGCCGTTCCTTAATGCTATAATCAAAAGTGGTTTAGAGACGTCAGGTTTTTGGGATGTAGGGTGTCAGACTCTGTGCTCGAGCTTTTGAAGACCGGAGGGCTGATAGCAGTCGCTGCAAGATGTTCGTTGGAATCAAGCCCGTGCCTTTTCTGGGCTGGACTCAAACGCAGCAGCATACGAGTGCCAGAATGTTTGGCGCCCTTCTCCAGTGTGCGACATCAGGGTTCCAAAAAGAAACCCTTGCCAAGCAGAGGTTTCTTCCGAAAGTCTGCTCACCTCTGCTCCCAGGCAGTGGATCTCAACTCGAAAGCCGAGCGACAGGACCGTTCCATGGGAACTCTTCAGGTCGTAAACATAGATCTCTGGAGATCCCTCCTGAGAAGGCTCGTGCTTTACGGCTTCCGGAATTATGCTGGCACCTCCGCTCGGCCGCTAGACAGCTCCGCGCGGATCGAAGACCTTACCAGCATGTCCATTCTCTTCAGGGTAGGAACAAGAGCCACTGGCTACTTCCTTGCAGTGCCCCCACCCCACCAGCATCCAGCCATCATGAAGGCGACACCCAAATTCTACAGTGTCTGCAGCGCAGTGAGCGCCAGCCTGGTTTCCTCTCCCCTTTGAAGCAATTAAAACACAGGCAAATCGGTAAAGCAGCAGAAACACACCTGCTTTGGGGCTTCGCTGTACGCCGGGCGTCCTTGCACTGCAGCACGCAGTGGTACCTTGAGGCCATCTTCTCGAGGCCCTCCAAAACCACGTCGCAGTTCTTCTCGCGGCCTCAGGGACCCCCCAATGATGTCTCGGATCGACTCGAGTTGCGGCTCGTGTTGGGAAACCGCCCGCACCCCCCCACCCGCCTTTGTGAAGCTGTCTTCGCATACACTTCGTCTAAATCCATGCAGGGGATGGTCTGCTCTGACACTCTGCCAGGGAGCCGATAAGAAAGGCGTCGTGCTCGCGGACATCGAGATCCACGCGACGCTTCACCTCCATAGAGAAGCCATGGTGACATGAGAAGGTTATCAGCAGCACGAAGTGAAGGGGTACTGGGCCCTGTGTGGTTTTGCAGCGAACAAGATGCTTGGAGCTAGGGGTTTGGATCGTCCGTCTACAGAAGCGGATGCCTTCAAACCGAACACTTGCAGGTCCAGGAGTTCGCTGCGTGTTTATGAGATCCTGGAGCTACTGCTCCAGGGCGACTATACCACTGCACTTCTTCGGACCGTCGCCACCAACACAGTCTCAGTGCAGATGGCCTGAGCTGGCGCTCCTCTGAATCATGGACTTCGGCGGAAGAAGACTCGGCTACTTCTCCAACGTGTGAGAGAACAACAGGCTACTGAGGGCCTACTACCCTACGAGCACCACCTGCCTCACCGGCTACGATGAGGTCCAGTGAAAGGGTGTCCTCGGCAGTCAGGATTGTGGGACACGAGTACCCGCAAGACCTCCTGCAATGCATCCCTTCGGCAACAGCAAACAGGGAAGCCCAGGGCTCCATACCGAACATACTCGCAAGCCGAAACCTGTAGACCGAATCAGAGGGCGTCACCTCATCCTGTTCAGTCAGGCATCAAAGCAGGGCTTGCCGGCCCAGCTGGGTTTGGCATAGTTGAAGCCCACCCTGCACAGGGCTACAGAACTTCAGTGCATTGGCATGGAAATTGACAACCCGCGCTCAAAGAAGGGGTTGAGCTAAGAAATTAGGACTCGATGAACAATTCACTTCCGCTTCGCTGAGAAGTCGGAGGGTCGTGAAAGACAGCCTTTACGGTGAAGGGCCCTCTATTGCATCAATCTAGATGTACTTACACTTGGCAAACATCGAACCACATCATGCGCTCGTGGCCACGCCCTTTTCCAGATCCCGTCAAGCCCGAATTTGCCGACTTACAGCCACAGCCTTTGTCTACCCCACACTCCCGAAGGCGAAAAAAGACCAAGCTCTGAATCAAGCACAAGCCACAAACCCGCGACGTGCCCGGAATCCAGATAGAACCTAGACCGCATTGCCTGTGGTTTCGAGCACAACTACTTAGATATAAGCTTGCTGCACCCTATCCTACACCGCCAAGCCAAATTATTGAAATCGTTTGCCCGAAACTCCCGGCACGTTATTTTGCTTCGCAAATTCGCTCTGTATCCAATTGAGTTTTCAATAGCAAACTGGGTTCCTTTTTGTTGGCTGGCCTGACGCCCTCTGCCATCACTTCACGCCGTGCAGGCAAGTCAAGCAGTGAGGGCTTTTGGCCTTTTGTGCAGGGTGGAAACGGGTTCAAGGGTGTGCTAGCATGTAGCGTTTGGGGATCGAGGTTCTCTAAATGCTTCGGGGCTTGGTAGTTTGACGGACGGTCCTCGAGTAGTCTAGTTCGGAAGACTTTAGCAAGTCGCGGCAGAGTATGTACTTCCTTGTGGACCTTGCCCCTCGACCCTCACCAATAACCAAAGCCCGAACAAAATCTAAAGGTCGTGGATGGGGCTACAGTGCCTGGAAAGTCTGCTCAGGGCGGAGTTTGGCGTTGGTCACAAGTCTGAGTTGGGAGCGATGACCAGAAAAGACTGTTAAGACAGTTAAGCCCTAAGCACTTTGAAAGCTTGGGCAAATCTTGCCCAGGTTGGGAACCATGTACTGCGCGGCATCTAAACAGTTCTTTGCCCAAAGCCCTCTCCTGTTGATCGTTGATATCCCAAGGCAGCGAGAGTCCAGCATACCCTGACAGTTGGCTGGAAGCCCTCAAGAAGCGCTCGTTCGAACGTTTCATGTAGCCTCCCGGCACCCACCTTGCCATCAGCAGCGCCGGCACTTGATACGACATATGACAGTCGCGAGTTGAACAGCTAGGGCTTCGAACTTGGGCTTTGGGTCCGGCCGCGTACCTCTGCTATCTTCTGAAACGGAGCTAACTGTCACTTCAATCTCATCGCAATGTCTCGAGCAGCATAGAGATGCCTGCATGGATTAGGTGAGATTGTCTGTGAGGCTCAGAGGAACAAAGTGAGGCTTCGTTGACGTGCGATCTACAGGCAGCTTCAAGCCCGAAGGCCTCCTGCAGCAGCCTTTAGACCCAGGCTGTGACAGTGAGGGCACGGCTTCACTCTACTTCTGCAGCTTCTGGATGCGAGTGGCAGCTGAAACGCAGAGTTTGCTCATTTTGTGGTTCACTCTGCGATTGCTGAGGCTGCTCCTGCTCGTGCCATCTGACGAAAAGGAAGGACCGTGATCCAAAGAGGCCCCTCTCAAGAACTTGCCAATGACCTAAGCCTTACCCTATCTGACTTTTTGGGACATTGAGCTCTCGAGGCTGGGCCCCTCGGTTCTGGTGCCTTAATTTCTGCAAGGCATCTCGCTTCGTCTCAGAATTCCTCGTCCTCCGCCTCTTTGGCATTCGAGGCCGGTGCCGGTGCGGCGGGAGCTGCCGGCGAAGAGGCGGCTGGAGGGGCGGGCGCCTGCAACGAAGGAACCGCGCATTTTGGGCTTTGAGCTGCAGGGGCCCCAAGCAGAGACCTTTGAAACAGATAAAAACACCTCCAGGACGAGACCGAATGGAAGCAAAGTAGTTTGGTTGACACCTCCTTGCCGTCGCCGGCCGCCTCCGTTGCTGAGCCCTCCGCCGCCTCCTCTTCGCGTTGCGATGAGAACCGGGAGGAGGAAGTTAACTGTGACTGACTAGATCGAAATTTCAGGTGTGCCAAGGAAATGCCGCAATGTGTATATGCTAAGCTTCTTGAGAGCGAAATCAAACACAAACCGAAAACACCCGTTCAGTCTCCCCGAGCCCAAGCAAAAGCTCCTCGTCCTTGCGAGCCTGGAGGAACCGAGGGAGGATGAAGTGGAACCTCGCAGGCATCGAAAGCTCTTACTTGCGCTTCACTCCTGGAATCAACTCCCATAAACAGGCCCAGCGGAACCAGGCCGGGCCGGAGATTGCCTGGGCGAGACTGGCTCTTCGAGCTGTGAGGATCAAGAGAATCCAGAAAATTGGGACTTTTCAAAGTCGGTAATGCCAGACTCGGAACGGGCTTCTGGTCTGGTGTGAGGCCTCACGCCAAAGGTGTGATGTGCAGAGACCGTGCGAAGTGAGGGTTGGTGCGTGGGGATTTGCATTTGCACAACATCCGTCGACACCTGGGCGATTCGTCGGAGAGTCTGTCGAAGGACATCGCTGCTCGCAAAGATGACGAGGCTTCTACAAAATGCGTCAAATTCTCAAGCTGGGGCAGCTACGGCTGTGCCCCACATCCACATCACGTCAATGTAGCGCTCGGACTGCTGGTACTGGCGACCAGAGAACCTTTGCTGCGTAGCGGCTTCCCTGTCCGTGGTTCTGTTGGGAGTTCTAGATGCGCCGTGAAGGATTTCGTTGGGTTAGAATACCGACTCCGAAGTGCTGTCCTGTACCGACTATGTCGAGGATTGGGAACAAAGAACTGACTGCAGAGCCTGGACCAAACCTGTGACTGTCAGGCACCCTTTTCGCGAAGTGTCTTCGAGGTAGCAGGGCTTGCCTTATCTATCAGCTCAACGCATCTCAACACAGAACTTCTTTGCCCAACTGCCCTGGCCCAAGCCACACCCCAGAACCAAAGAGTGCTTGGTCTCCCTCTGCGGCCCCTTTCCCCGGAGTGAGCGGGCGACTGGATGGCGAGGAAGAAGAGGCGCTGCCAGGTCAGTCCAATCCTGGGCAGAGCCGAGAGTTATCGGGGAATCACCGCCACATTGGCGTCAACTGGCTAGCCAGCGTTCCAGAACGAACCCTGAACTCCCTAAACGCTCAGCTCTTGAGAGGAGCGCAGGTGCCGGCTACACATTCTGGCTTCTCCGCTTGCTCGAAGGTGCTTGCAGGCGCCGTGCTACCGTGACCTACCAGAAGTCTTGAACCTTGGTGTTGCTGCCAGAAGGCAGCAGCTCGCAGAAGATGGATGTGGAGCGTATCGCAGCGCTGCCTCTCTGAAAGGCCAAGTATTTCAAGATCTTTGGAATGGTCGCGCCCAATCCTTCTCCTGAAAAACAAACCCCTCCGGCCCTCCGGCCTGATTTGTCGGCGACAAAGTCGATAACGCGCATCACGAAGAACATGAAGACCTTGACTGTGGGATGGGGTGAGGCGCTTCGGCCGGAGTTAAAGTAAGCGCTTTGTGCTGTAATGCGCAAGACAGGGCGAGGACCGCTTTGGATGAGCAGGCGATACTTCCCAGGTTCACGGGTTTGATCCAGCAACTGGAGATCATCCTCGCTGTGCTTCGCTGCGTGCACAGCTCCACGAAGCTATCATCAAAACCCTTGGAACGACTGGGGCATCCCGTTCGAACAGTTCGCAGCCAGAGAAACCGCTTGTCCGCGGAAATCAGGAAATCCCACAAAGGCCCCCGGCTGAGGAGAAGATGGCCAGGAGAATGGCGGAGTTGATATCCGCAGACTGAGTGGGTCAACAACTCTTCGAGTCCAGGGCGGGCGGCTGAAAGTTCACACTGGAAGCCTGCCCCCCGAAGCCGCTCTGCGCTGTGTAGAAGAGGAACCTCGACCGAAGGGCATTGAGTAAAGAAGCTTGTTGTAGTCGTGGGGTGGCAGAGGGGCTGACCTTCATGAGTTATCCCTTGAGAGTTGCTGTCGGTTTGGGCGATGTTGTGGCCGTAATTACCTAAGCCTCCTGCATTGACCCGCACATGAACTCCTCAACTTATATTGCAAGCCGAGTCACTGCCACTCCAAACTAAAGAGCGCCATCCAGGCACAGAACATGGCCCTGGCCGCAGCAAACACAGACGCACCTATTTCGGATCGGAGGCCAATAGCATCATAAGCCATGGTTTGCAACTTTGGAGACAAGGGCTTCAAAAGATGCGGGGCACAGGGGCAAAGGGATGGCAAAGCCCTTGGCAGCTCGGCTGGGCAGAAGTTCCCTACACGAATGCCTCGACGAATCTAGCAAAAGTCCGGAAACACGACCCATGCTGTCCATGAGTTGGAAGGAATCAGTGCAGACCACGGCGCCCCGAGCATGCTCATGCGATTGCTCCGGTTACAGTAGCAAGTTTGTGCACTACGGCTTCCCGGATTGATCTTTGCGTGGGCACTAAGCTCCATCACGCGGCTTCCAGAGCGGCGATGCTTGCCGTGTCTGGCGAACATCACGTGTGGCAAAAGTCAGTCCGACTTCCTTGATGCTGAAGTCGGCAAGCGCGAGGTTCTTTGGCTCCGGAGCTTTTCGTGTAGCAACGTTTTCCACGTTGCGTGTGGGCCTCTCGCCTTGAATAGTCTTCTTGCAGTACCAACGGCAACGGCCCATACAATCTTTTCATTCTTGCCTTTGGTGCGTCGTCGCATGCCTTTTCAGTGTCTTGGCATCTTCATAGCGGTGGCACTTGCCTGTGTAACCTGCTGTTCTTCCGGCACATGTTCAAGCAGCGGTTTGGGTGGAACAGGCAGCATCATCGCCATTATTCTTTCCGATGACCCGGCTTTTGTCCAAGTCTCTGCGACCACATGGGCGATCGGGCGACATGCCAGCACTGCGGCATTTGGTCAGACAGCGAACTACAAGCGCTCTTGTTATCTTGCAAGCCGGTGTTTGCGGCTCATTCAGCTTCAGCATAAATTTGTAAGGCTCATGGTGTGAGGGACCGCTCCCATCGTTGAAGATGCAGCACGCATCATTGCCTTTGGCCAGGTCTGGCGGTTGCTACTTTTTCTGTCGACTTTGAAAAGCCGCGCTCCGTTGACATGTGTCATGGGTTAAAGACTACCCGACTTGAAATCCCCTGCACGCCAAGCTCTCGACATGATCGATGTGCTCATCTGAGAGAACCGCCGGGCGGTCCAGCTCCTACGCAGGGCAGCCGGTGTTGCAATGGCAGGCGGGACATGAACACCCGAGACTCAGAGACACCCAAACAGCCCGGCGGTGCCACTGACGCGGGCCACCCCCCGGTGAGGCCTGTCTGGTGCCCCGAAGCGGTGGACCACGCCGATGATAATCTCAAGTGAGCAGGGCTTAAATTGTTACTATCACTACAATACCTCTTTATCCATCTATAGACTGCCGAAAGCTTGAGTGGACCCTCTTGGGGGCCCGGGTTGAAATCCGAGGGCTCCACGAAGCCAAGGAAGACAGACCTTCGTATTGCAAAGTCGGCTTGAGGTCGGGGACGGTGCAGGCGCGCATTTCGAGATGCAGGAGATCCCAAAGTTCCCTCTTCGAAGTCCATC